GGAAGATGAGCACACAGAAGCTAGTCTTCACAGTAGTGAAAAAATTTCACGTAGTATTGCTGTTCTGAATCAGGCTTCTTCAGTTGTGTTCCACACTCTTCATGTTTATATGTAGTGATAATTGGTTGTCCTTTGGCCCCACAGTGACTTAAGTACACAGGGGCTGCTTGGATATTCTGTGATCTGACTCCTTTTCACAAAGTACTTTTGTGCCATGTAGGAGATTAAGCTTGTTAATGAAATAAATGAGACATCAAGGTAGTCCATGGAGTTGCTGTCTGTATCATTGTTTTGGTCTGAAATAAAAACCTAGAATACATAACTACAGAATATTTTTCTCTTTTGTTAATGAGTCATATTTCTAAATTAACTATTTTAGGTACTAAGAGGTCAGCAGTATGGTAGGAGCTGTGATGTATGGAGTGTTGGCTGTGCTATTATAGAAATGGCTTGTGCTAAACCACCTTGGAATGCAGAAAAACACTCCAATCATCTTGCTTTGATATTTAAGGTAACTATAATATAAAAATTACTTTCTCTGCTGTAATTGGCAGGAGGCAGATTTTCATGGGTTCCCCTTAACTCTCAATCTAATGTCAAAGCACGTATCCTCCTTGAAATAAATACGCATATATGTATCTCTCGGAATTCATACGGTGTGATGAATGTTGGTGGCATGTACAGTCGGTCCTCATTTTTCAAGTAGTTAGGCTCTATAAAGTCACTTCGAACAATGAGTTAGCAAATAATGAATCATTGTTCTTAGGTGAAATATGTAAGTAAGTATATTCAACTTTCAAATGTAAAAATGTAGAGCTCTTTATGGACACAATCCACAAATCTTTAAAATCTGATTTACTATTTTCTGTATTTAAAAAATTTACACGAGTCAGGTCCCAAATCCCATCTGTTCTACCTTTCTGACAACTCTCAAATCCATTCTGTCCATTTCCAGCGGAGAAGAGTATAGTAGTTTAGATTTTTAGCTTTTGATCCAGACATGTGCCAGTTAAAAGCTCAGGCTCTGGAATGATACAGACCTGATTTCAAACCGTGGTTCTAGCCTTTAAACTTTAAAAAGCCATGTGACTCGGGAAATGACTCCGTCTGCCCTCTGTTCTCTTGGTTATAAAACGAGTATAATTACAGCATCTACTTCATGGGATTATTATGGGAATAAAATCTCTGGGCCTGAGTAACTCGAAATCCAGTGCACCAGTACCTCAGTACCTCCCAGCACCTCCCCCAGTCCTTCTCACACTTCCATACCTTCCCCATTCAGTGCAGTTGAGTTTCTGATGTACTAAGCGGACTGGCCAGGTGTGGTCTCAGTAGCTTTGAATAGCTCTCTGTGCTGAATGATAGAACATGTATGATGAAGCAAAGATGACAAACCATCATACTGCAGAGTATGAGGAGAGCATATAGTATGAAGTGAATACTTTACCTGTCTAATCATTTTGATGTACTTAGTCATGTTCATTTGAGACAAGGAAAACCATAGATCCATCTACTCAGGATGTGTTTGATTAAATTCTGAAATCCTAAAATTGAAGATTCTTAGAGGAAGCCTCCCATCCAGTGGGTGAGTTTTTCCAGAGACTCCCTGTCAGAAGCAAGTCCACCAATTTCAGCTTCAGTTCTTCTATGTACAGGATGCACGTGTACTTCTAGATCAGAAGCTCCTATTGTGGAAAGTTTAAACACGCTGGTGGTTTTTCTTACAGATTGCAAGTGCGACGACTGCTCCATCAATCCCCTCACATTTGTCTCCTGGTTTACGAGATGTGGCTCTTCGGTGTTTAGAACTTCAACCTCAGGACAGACCCCCGTCAAGAGAGCTACTGAAGCATCCGGTCTTCCGTACTACGTGGTAGCCAATTATACAAATAAACTATAATGGAGACAGGATGCTCAACGAGAGCAAAACTTTTGTGGGGAACCACGCTGATAATCTGCTGGCCTTCATGCCACTGAACAGCTATGAACAAGACCAGTGGGGAACCCTTACCTAAGTATGTGATTGACAAATCATGATCTGTACCTAAGCTTAGTATGCAAAAGTCCACAATTTATGCACAAACTGTAAACCGTGCCTTTCAAAGAACTGGCCATAGGTAAACAGGAAAGCAACGAAGTTTTGCATGACTAAGAAGCATATTTTGGTTTTTTTGGAGCACTTTTTCAGCAATATTAGCAGCTGAGGGGCTCAGGATCTATTTTAATGTTTCAATTTTTCTTCCATTTCATATCGTGATGACAAGCAGGGGGTTCTACAATTCCGTTCAGTTTTTTTTTTTGTCACTGGCTATAAATCAGTATCTGCCTCTTTTAGGTCAGAATATGCTATAAGTAGCAGTAAATATATTTTTAAAAGTTGATAACTTCTTTATGAACCACAGTTGACCTTTATTTTTTAAATGCCTGGGCAGTTGTGGTTCACTGTGCATTTTACTGTTGGCCCATTCATTTCGTTTTTGGAAATTATGGTTCTGTATTTTCATTTTACCTTCATTTTGTTTAATATTCAGGGAAAGGTGATCTTTTCAAACCAGAAAAAAGAAATAGAACTAGGTGTGAACTAGGGTTTATTAAATATCTTGCTATTGCAAGAGGTTTTTTTTTTTAATACAGATTGAATTTTGTTTGTTTTAAAAATTGGAATATAATAAAATACTACCTTCACTGAGTCAGTCACTGCTCTTTTCATGCAGGTTAAATATAAATTAAGTGAAAATCAACTTTCTCTGTGATGCAGCTCACAACCAAGATCAAGATTACCTTGAAATTGTTTTTTTTTTTTAATGCATTGGTTTCTCTTGTAGGAAACTTCACACCACTGAAGTCTTACTTTGTATGTAACAATCCATTGTTCATCATCACCACTAATAATATTATTAAACTGCTATTTTCCTTCTACCATGCATCATCTTACAGTAGGCCTGGCTGATACTTAAAGGAAAATTAACTAATGACTCAACTACCAATGAGTAATAGTGTTTTTACAAAATAAATTTGCTTGTAACTTTGAAAACATGATCAGAAAGAAAAGTGAAATTGAATTTCACTTACACACTAACTATTGGATTTTGCACAATTATCTAATGGTTTTCATCTGAGTTGAATTCAGATGCATGGAATCCTGAAGGAAAATGGCAGCTCTTTTATCTTTTTGTAAGTCTTTTAAATCAAGTACTGATTAAATATTTAATACAACTTTTTGAGATGTTAAATTTTAACTCTTCAGAAGCCAGTTGAATTATTGCAGAGTGAAACAGAATTGGTTATTCTCAAAGACTCAGGATAAACTAAATAAGCTATATAGAGTACATTTTAAATGTACATCACAAATTGGAAGTAAAGTAAGTTACAAGATAAGTTTACAGGGATATATTGCATATAATTTTTAAAGAGCAGTTTTTTTTTTATGTGAATGTGTCTCTTAGTGAAATTTTACATTCCTTTGTTTTGGAAGATTGGCAATATTTGAAGAGTTAAAAATAGTACCGAAATGTGAAGTTTGGTAGCTCTAAATGTGTTGTACTTGACTGCCTTTTTTATTTTCTTTTTTTTGTGTGTGACTACTTAGAATTTTCACAACCCTAATAAGACTGTTTTCAAGTTTCTCATGTGCAAGCTTTAATGGATGCACTCTTGCCATTTTATGTACTGGAAGATCACTGGTCAGATTAATACTGTGTCTGACAGAAATGTAAACTGTATAAACTGAGGAACCTCAGCTAATCAGTATTACTTTGTAGATCACCATGCCCACCACATTTCAAACTCAAACTGCCTCTAGATGTCCAAATCCATTGTTTGAGTTTGTTTGCAGTTCCCTCAGCTTGCTGGTAATTGTGGTGTTTTGTGTTTTGTTTTGTTTTCAATGCAAATGTGATATAATCTTATTTTCTTTGGATCAAAGCTGGACTGAAAATTGTATTGTGTAATTATTTTTGTGTTCTTAATGTTATTTGGTACTCAAGTTGTAAATAACGTCTACTGCTGTTTATTCCAGGTTCTACTACCTCAGGTGTCCTATAGATTTTTCTTCTACCAAAGTTCACTTTCACAATGAAATTATATTTGCTGTGTGACTATGATTCCTAAGACTTCCAGGGCTTAAGGGCTAACTTCTATTAGCACCTTACTGTGTAAGCAAATGTTACAAAAAAAATCTCTGGGTTAAGAAAATTTGGCTTAAATGTATCCTTTGTTATTTTAAATATATCAAGATATTTTAATTAAAATTTTTACCCCATTGAACCAATTTTATAGTATTTGTACCTATTTTGGTGTTTGTCTTTATAGTAAATAAAAGTTTTTGAACAAAGGTTGGAATTTTGTTTATTTTGCCAGGTGCCCAGTTATGTCCTGTATAGCTAAAGGATCCAGACCAAGATCATATGTTCCTCCTACTTGTCAAGTTTCTTCAGTTTCATTCCGTCCAGACTCATTCCTCAGTTTTCTCTTGACCTTCAGGACCTTAATATTTTTTAAGATTACAGGCTAATGTTTTATAGAGGTCCTTCGCTGGAGTTTGGTGCTTCCTCATGCCTGGATTCAGAGTATGAGTTTGTGACCGGAATATGGGAGGGGTGACTAGATATTAAGATATATATATCAAGATATATTCATATATATGGATCTTAATCTGTTCAACAGTCTACCTTATATGACTTGGTATGTTACATACTTTCACATAAATACTACTACTATTCCAAGGCAGTATAGATTAAACTTAACTGATTCCATCCACACAACTCTTTATATTGTATAGAATTGAAAAAAAACAATAAAAACTGCCCTCTTATGTTAAACTGATTACAAGAGGAATGAAGAATTACTCACTAGCAAGTATTTGTCAGGCATACATTAGAACACAGTGATTATACTCCATTCCACAAATGCAGAAATGAGCCAATTTCAATCATTCTGCAACATAAGCTACAACAGGGAGCTCCCTTGGCCTGCCCCACAGTTTCAGTCTTAGATTGTACCTGTGCTTGTGTACTCATTTCCACTTTATTCTTCATTTTTCTGCCAGTAGTCATTTCTCACAGGATCAAACTTAATCAGAAACAAGATGAATTAACCCTGCAAAATAGGTAATATCATGGAGTAAGCGTGAGTTCAGACAGCATTTTGTTTTAAAGTTTCTGTATAATTTGAAAATGCGCATCTTTTTTTAAGAGAGGAGGGGGAGCAGAGATGAGGCACAGGGAGTTGGGGGGGAGGGAGAGAGAAAGAGAGAATCATAAGCAGGTTCCATGCCCAGTGCAGACCTTGATGTGGGGCTCTATCTCACAACCCTGAGATCATGACCAGAGGTGAAATCAAGAGTCGGACGCTTAACCAACTTAGCCACCCAGGCACCCCGCAAAATGTGCATCTTTTAAACAGGCTCTAGATATTACTATTAAAGTGTATACTTCTGTCATTTCCAGAAAACAATACCTTTGAGAACAGGTTTTTGCCTTAGAGGAATTAAATTCTATTGTTCTTTGATTCTATTTAAATGGCATTAATAATTGTGTAAAAGGACCATATCTGCAATTTTTAGGTTTCTCTTTTCTTGATTATAAGCAAAAAACTCAGGTTGAATTGACATAAAGGAGGAAAGGATGGGCCTTTTAAAGTAGGTCATAAAGATGGACCTGGAAACCACAGAGCATGAAACATACCCTGGGTCAAATCTGGCTCTGCCACTTGCCATTTGACCTTTTGAACCTCTATTTATTTCTGCCTCTATAAAAGTGACAGTGTTGTGTGAAGTGAAGAACCTATGTAAATGGCCTAGAACATTGCCAGGCACGTTGGATGCACAATATATGTTTGTATGAGTGCATGAGTGACACAAAGGTTCCACACTTAAATACCTGTGTGGCTAGAGGTGTCCTTAGTAGGGTGTGTGGCCAGTCTGACAGTCCAAGCTAAACTCAGGTTCAAGAAGGTCCATGCTTGCCATGTTGGGAAGAAAAAAAAATAACAGTGCCCAAGCCTTTAAATTTTTAAAAGAAACTGGAAATCTATATTTTATCTACAGTTTTCTGGTATTTAAACACTGGGAGAAACTAATTTAAAATTTGGATTAGTAATTATAGGCTAACAGAACTCATATGCTAGATCTGACCTGTGGCCAACCACGTTTTGATCTCTGACCTTAGTCCAGACTTATAAAACAAAAGTAGAATATTGGAAGAGAATCTCGGCTTTGGAAAAGTGGATCCGGGACTTTGACTTCTAAGAGCTACAAGAAGAGGGGAAAGTGGAGATGCTGATCATTGATGCTAGAGAAGAAACCTCTGAAGAGAGAATTGATGTCTAATTATATGCACTAATGTGAAATGTTTACCACGAGCCTCATCATCAGGTAGCAAGTTATGCATATGTAGCATTCAAATACGCCATCATCACCGTGATACAGTTGTCGTGAATTTTATTTGACAACAGATATTCTGTCTGTATTATGTGAAGAAAGAACTCCATCCGTGACTGAAGCCAGTCTCATCTTGGCTCACCTTGTAGCCAAGCTGGAGTCACTGTAGCCCACGCCTCATGGCCCTCATAGTTTGCCAGCCACATAGAGATACAATGAGGATGGCCTGACGGTAGAAAAGGCAAAGCCATCACACCCCAAAGTAGCTTTTCTGACAATGCTGACACATTCCTGTTATAGTTTAGAGATAAATAAATGTTATTTTCCTTTAAAGTCAATTTGCTGAAGATTTCTCAACATGCATAAAGACATAATAGGAGGATGAAGGTGTATCTAGGGTGAAAGGGAAAGAAGGAGAAATAAGATGGGATGGGAAATACTGAGAAATCCTTGGCAGGAAGGAGCATGAAACAATTTTGTGAAGATCACTCTAGTAGCATCTTGAAGAAAGATCAAACAGGGTGGTACAAGAAGTGGAGACAAAGTCAGGAGATAACTGCAGTGTCCAGATAAATTATGAACAGGGGTGACTGGGTGGCTCAGCTGGTTAAGTGTCCGACTCTAGAGCTCAGCCCAGGTCTTGACCTTAGGGTGGGGAGTTCAAGCCCCACACCGGGCTCCATGCTGAGCTTGGAGCCTACTTTAAAAAAGAATTGTGAAGGGAGAGAGTGACATCAACAGCATAATAGGTCCTAACAAAACTGAATCATGAAGAAATAAAATGTGAACAGACTGATAACAAGTAAGGAGACTGAATCAGTAATTTTAAAACTCCCAAAAGTGAAAAGCCCAGGACCAGATTATTTCACAGGTGAATTCTATCAAACATTAAAGAATTAATATCCTTCCCAAATTTTTCCAAAGAACTGAAGAGTAGGCAACACGCCCAAACTCAATTCATGAGGCCAGCATTACCCTGATACCAAAGCCATATGAAGACTCTACAGGGAAAGAAAACTACAGGCCAAAGTCTCTGATAAATATGGACTCAAAAAATCACATCAAAACATTATCAAACTGAATTCAACAGCACATTAAAAGGATCATACACCATGAACCCAAGAGGAATTTATTCCTAGGATACAAGCATGGTTCAACATATACAAATCAAAAAATGTGATATGCCACAGAGATACAGAAAGCCTTTGACAAAATGGCAATATTGTTTTATGATTTTAAAAAAAAGCACTCCATGATTAGGGTATCAAAAGAACATACTTCAATATAATAAAGGCCATACATGACATGTACACAACTAACACCATACTTGACTAAGTTTTCATATATGTAACTTCTTTTCCCTTAAAGTCAATGTACATAAAGATACTTTTCAACCTTTATGTAAATATACTGACAGGATGAGGGCTGCATATGGTTGTGTAGATGAGAAGTTGAAAGCTTCTCCTCTTAAATCAGGAACAATCAGGGGTGTCTAGTCTCACCAATCTTACTCAACAAAGTACTGGAATTTCCTGGCCAGAACAATAAGAAAAAAGAACTAAAAGGCATCCAAATCAGAAAGGAAGAAGTAAAATTGCCATTGTCTGCAGATAATATAATCATATATATACAAAATCTTAGACTCCACCAAAAACTGTTAGAATAAATGAATTCTCTAAAGTTGAGATACAAGATCAATGTAGAGAAATGTGGCATTTTTATACAGTGTTAAAAATTAGCGGAAAGAGAAATTAATAATCTCATTTACAATTGCATCAAGAATACTGAGGAGTAAATTTAACCACAGAGGTAAAAGACCTGTACTCTAAAAACTATAAAACATCAATGAAAGAAACTGAAGATGAATTCAAGGTGCTCTGGAAGAATTAATTTTAAGATGTCCATACTATTCAAAGCAGTCTATAGATTCAATGCAATCCCTATCAGAATACTAATAGAGGCACCTGGGTGGCTCAGTCGGTAAGCGTCCCAGACTTGGTTATGGCTCAGGTCATGACTGCACTAAGTTTTGAGATTGAGCCCAGCATCAGGCTCCCCACTCAGTGAGGAGTCTGCTTGAGAATCTTCCCTTCTGGCCCTTCCCCTCATGTGTGCACTCCCTCTCTTTCTCAAATAAATACATCTTAAAAATACCAATAGCATTTTTCACAGAACAAAAACAAAGAATCCTAACATTTGTCTGAAACCACAAAAGACCCTGAGTAGCCAAAATAATCCTGAAAAAGTAACTAAGTTGGAGGTATCACAGTCCCAGATTTTACACTATACAACAAAACTATAGTAATCAAAATGGTATGGTACTGGCACAAAAACAGAAACACAGATCAATGGAAGAGAACAGAGAGCCCAGAAGTAGAGCCACACTTATATGGTCAATTAATCTATGACAAAGGAATCAAGAATACACAATGAGGAAAAGACAGTCCCCTCCCCAATAAATGGTGTTAGAAAAACTGGACATCTACGAGTAAAAGAAAACAATCACTTTCTTACGCCACATACAAAAATAAACTCAGAGTGGATTAAAGACCTAAACACAGGAGATAAATCCATAAAAATCTCAAAAGAAAAAATAGGCAGTAAATTCCTGGACATTAGAATTAGCAATATTTTTTGGTTCATTCTCCTCTGGCAAGGGCAACAAGAGCAAAAATAAACTACTGGAATTAAAACAAACTAAAAAACTTTTGGACGGTAAAGGCTGCCATCAACAAAACAAAAAGGCAACCTACTAAATAGGAGAAGATGTTTGCAAATGATATATCCAATGAGGGTATTGGTCAATATCCAAATATATAAAGAACTCATACAATTAAACACCAAAAAACAATATGATTAGAAAACGGGCAGAGTTCTATAGTATACAGAATAGTTATTTTTCCAGATAACATGTACAGAGAGCCAACACACATCAAGAGATGCTCAAAATCATTAATCATCAGGGAAATGCAAATCAAAACCACAATGAAGTATCACTTTACACTGATCAGAATGGCCAGTATCAAAAAGATAAGAAATAATAAATGTTGGCAAAGATGTGGAGAAAAGAGAACCCTTATGCACTGTTGGTAGGAATGCAAAATGGTGTAGCCATTATGGAAAATAATATGGAGGTTCCTCAAAATATAAGAAATGGAATTACCATATGATCCAATAATTCCACTTCTTAGTATTTACCACCCCCTCAAAAAACCCCACTAAACTAAAAGTATATATCCCTTATGTACTGCAGCATTATTTTCAAAAGCCAAAATACAGAAACAACCTAAGTCTCCATCAATAGATGAATGGATACAGAAGATGTGTGCACATGTGCACATACACACACACTGGAATATTACTCAGCCATAAAAATTATTTTAATAATAATTATTTAATATATAACATTTAATATAAATATTATTCTCATTATGTAATAATAAATGGTTATCTTAACCATCTGTGATAAAAAGGCTGCACCTAGCAGGTATACTATGCTAAGTGAAATAAGTCAGAGAAAAGACAAATACCATATTATTCCACTTATATGTGCAATCTAAAAAACAAAACAATGAACAAATGGACTCATAAATACCAAAAACAAACTGGCAGTTGCCACTGAGGAGTAGGATGGTGGGGGTTAGGGGAGGCGATAAGCAAAAAAGGTGAAGGGGATTAAGAGGTACAAACTTACAGTTATAAAATACGTAAGTAATGG